TCTGCACATATTCTCTCCTTATTAGAGAGATTGCCAGGGAGGGCAGACCATTTTTATCTAGGCTTCCTCCTCCAGGACACTAACCCGGTTACCACGTCTGCAGTGGCAAAGTTCTGTGCTGCTGCAATGTCCATAAGAAAAAAAATTGGCTACAGAAGTATAGTTGTCATCTTGTACCAATTATCTGGACATACCTTTAACAATCTTTGGACCGTTATGTTATTATCCACTTTTAATGTCAATACTTTTTAATTATATTTTAATGTTAGTATTTTTTAACATAGTGAAAAAACAAATGTATAGTGCTGGTCTTTGACCGTAATAAAGATCTTACTTACTTACCTACCTTGGTATGAATAGCATCTCCTTTTTATATGGGAAGGATAACAGAAGACATCATCCAAATTCAGGAATATGACCTAATATGACCATTGTTTTAAACTAGTTTACAAGTTGTGGATTTGAGAATGTGTAATTTTATACAGTTAATATAATGGCGTCATGTGTTCGTAATGACTTTCATTGTAGGTGTTTCATTTCAATAAAGCTGGGGGAACTGAGACCGTTTATCCTCTGAGGCACCCACGGGTGTATTCCAAGATGGAGGAGCTTTTGAAAAACCCATGCATCTCACTTACAAAGGTGATTTCTTAAAAATAATTCCTAACTGAGTTGAATTGAATTTGAATTTGAATTGAATTGAGTTTGGGATTGAATGAGCATTTATTCGAAGGTAGGCTAAAAAAATACTCCACAACCAGTTTGCCTTATTTTCATTAAATTTACGTTTGCTTTTATTGGTTTGTCAAACATATACAAGATAGCAGGTATAAATACAAACATGGATATAAACAAAGGAAATGAACACAAAAAGATGAGGACAGTAGCACAGGGACATTAGGCACGCTGGTGCGCTTATGCGCGCCCCCTTTAAGGGACCTCTTAGGAATGGGGCGAGGTCTACGGTAGACGGTTTAAGGTTGAAGCTGTGAAGGTTTGAGGATGTAACAACGGAGTCAGGTAGAGCATTCCAGGCGTTGACCACTCTGTTGCTGAAGTCATATTTTCTGCAGCCGAGTTTGGAGTGGTTTACCTTGAGTTTGTATGGATTGTTTGCCCGTGTGTTATCGAGGTTGAAGCTGAAGACGTCGGTGACAGGTCATTGATAAATGCACACTTTATAATAATTGAAAAGCATGAGGTATTGTTTATACCATTTGCACTGACTTCTTAAAACAATCAGTAATTGCTCCAAGTGCTCCAACTGGAAACCATACAATTAAAAAAAATTACAAGTCACAAAGATTTAGAAATAAATTTACAATAGCATGCAGGATATAAATACTCTACAACAGTGGTTCCCAAACTTGGCAACTTTAAGACTTGTGGACTTCAACTCCCAGAATTCTCCAGCTCTGCTGGCTGGAGAATTCTGAGAGTTAAAGTCCACAAGTCTTAAAGTTGCCAAGTTTGGGAACCACTGCCCTACAATAAAATGCCTCCTTCCCCGCTGTTAATAAATTTCTTTGTTTTTTTCCTTTCTTTTAGCCTTCCCCTGAAATACATAGTAACATCCATTCAAGATTCCAAGCCTTAAATCAAGAAATCAACAAACCCACAAAAAATGCTTTGCTAAGTAGTGTCAATCAACTATACGGGGATAAATCGGTGTCTTTTCAAAGAGTGAGTATCACAAAGTTTTAATAGTGAGAATGTATTACGGTAATAATTATGCATTGTTAAATTTGAGGTAAACTTATTGCTATCTTCTATTAAATGACATTTTACCTATAAGGACTTCTCAGAATCAATGAAGAAATATTATAAAGTTGAGCCGCAAACAGTAAACTTTCAAGAAACTACAGACAACGCAAGAAAGGAGATCAACGCGTGGATTGAACAGCAGACAGCAGGTAAAGACCAAATAATTAGCCAGGCATTTATAAAGAAGTTGGCTTCCCTTATCCCTTTTTCCTGCATTTTACAATATGTAATTTGATAGATTTATACGGAATATAGTATGTTTACAACAGTGGTGGGATTCAAATAATTTAACAACCGGTTCTCTGCCCTAATGACCATCTGGGTAGG